GCATCACAGAGTAGATTTTATTGAAGTATTTCTTTGCAGACACAGTTATCAATGAAAGTGTCTTGCTTTTCTGTTGCAACACTCATGAAATTTTCACTAAAGAAAAACAAAGAATTTTTTTAAGTTGGTTTTTTGATTGTTTTGGTAGTTTTTATTGGTTAAATCCGAAACATACCATTTTTGTGGAAATTTCAATTATTTTATTTATTGCTCAGCTATAAAAATACTGCCTAATTATAAAAATATTACCCAGTTATAATTGGTGATGATCAGTGCGGTAGTTTCCGAGATCCGAGTTTTGGACGTATACCTCGCAAGCTCCATTATAATAAAATTTTGTTTTTTATATGGTACACTCACGAAATACCAATGCTGGAGTATTGAAAACGCGATTAAAAATTAAGCTCACAAATATTTTATTTAAGATGCAAACAAGCACCAGCCGCAAATGCACAGACATGCACCCTTCATCTGGTTTCACTGTATATACTGAAGAACGTTTGACATGCTTCAAATATTTAAAAAACTGGTTCAAATTATACATTTTTTACTGCATATTCTGACATTTAAACATTTTAAATTAACAAAAGCTCAGAAGGAATAATAATATTGCACCATCACAATGATGCTCTTGCACAGGTGGTGTACATACGACGATAGGCAAAGATGGCACGGTCTGGCTGTATAACACGTACGTTGACCATATGTTTTTGACTACTACGTCTACTGGATACCACTACGCTGGAAAACTGATATTCTCGCATAAAAATCAGAAGTACCCTTGTATCAATGAAGAAACTAGTCAAACGTAGTATAATTGATGGTTTCTACAGTTGTTTTTGTCTTACGAAATCTTGAACCCAGAGTCAGCAGACGTAAGATCTTTAACTAAAATTCGCAGTATACGTACCTAACGAGTACAATTATTTCTAATCTAACGTCACAAAAATTTAATCATTCCAAACATTAAATTATAATATTCACCATTTCTATTTGAAAGAAAAAGTGCAAAGTACGTTAAAAGGTTTGAAGTGAATGCATACTGTGAAGTCAATCATTTTCGAACTTAAAACGCTTAAAACGTCGAACTTTACTTCATATAATATATATAGGATTAAAGTTAGGGTGGGTATTCGGATTTTTGTTTGGGATTTCGGGCAAAGCTACACGAAGGATATTTGCTCTAGCGGTCCATAATTTTGCAGTGAAAGACTAGATGGAAGGCAACTAGTCATCACCACCCACCGCCAACTCTTGGGCTACTCTTTTACCAACGTATCGTGGTATTGAACGTCACATGTAACGCCTCCACGGCTGAAAGGGCGAGCATGTTTGGTGGGACGAGGATTCGAACCTGCGACCCGCAGTTTGCAAGTCTAGCGCCCTAACCACCTGGCCATGCCAGGCCCAAGGTAATTGGAACACTCTGTAGTAACAAGCATGTGGCATAAAGGCAACGTATTTTATGTTCATACAGAAGAGATCACGATGAGTTGAGGACATACTACATGTTTGAACAGAACATTGACCTTTCTCCTCCAGGTAATACATGAAACATTTTTATTATGCTTAAATCGTTGCCAATTTGTTACGTCTCTGGTCGTTTGTTAATTTCCCGTAAAAATTACTTCCGAAAAACTTCAACGATACAAGTCCTTTCTTAAGTAAAACTAGTTTATTCTTTCTCAATACAAC